TATGTATCTTGATTGGTCAAATTGGTGATTTAATCGTATAATTGATCCGAGGGTCTCTTGATACATTGTCGAGGGCAGTGGTAAGATTAAGTTAGTATTGTGGCCCTTATGTACCGGTTTGTTTTGGTGGGAAATAGTTACATATATCATCTCAGTGGCTTCTACATCACGCACTATTCCTCAACAATCGAAGTGAATGGCAAAATCAAAGAGGATGTTAGTTTACGAAAAGAGGTTGAGGTGTGACTGATAGCAACTCAGTGATCTGAAACTTTATCAGATATGGATTACAATAAGAGCCAGTCGCTAATCTTCTGTAAATATCTAATACATTCTATATAAATCTGAAATGGGTTTGCTTAGCCTATAGAGGTCTTTTTGTCTGTATTTTAAAAATGACTGTATATTATATTAACCTGTACTCTTGTTCATATAATCTTTGAATATACTATTCATACATTTATCATTTACTGATAATATTATCATTTCTTTTGTTCGGGGCAACTTTAGGTGTTCTGGTGTAATCCATATAAAGGGAGATGATCAAATTTAGTAGTGTAAAATCTCTTATAAAATCACATCACGTGGTAATAATTATGTATATATTTATCGCAAATGGCCAAATGAATTTCCGGGAATTTGGAATGAAAAACTGTTGTGTGTGAAATTGAAAGAATTCTAAAAAACGATAACTTCATATCGTCACTTGACTGAGTTCGGTAATATATGATACATGTATTCAGGATCGTACTCACCGTGAAACTAAGAGATTCTGGATAGGATCCTTTGTGATTGTACGTGATTCTATGATTATTATTTATTGGAGATAACTTTTTTAAACTGAACAACAATGATTTAGATATATCTTCTAATCATCTAATACAGTAATCGGATCATTTAGATCTTTTTAGAAAAAAAAACAACGAATACCGTTCAAGATAATGTTGTTTGGTAGTCAGTAATCAGTCAATAATTTCTAGACTCTGTTAGACGATACTATCCTTCGGTGTATCTAACTTCAAACAATTACAGATGAATAATACAGATCTGCATATTTCATAAAACAGTAACATTAAGTGACATCGAATAATCCTAATTCATTTGTACTTCATATTTTCTCATCAACTGTTTATAACCATATTCATCTTTCATCCACTTTAAAACTACTTGTTTTCCACCCACCTAATTCTTAAATTTATGTAAACTCTTCAAATCTTCATTGAATATTACCATTAAGATATTAAGAAACAAATTGAGCTAAGAAATACTTCTACTCAATAGATTATTTATCAGTACTATACACTAATAGATAGATTCTTCAAATGAGTAGAAAGTCAATATCAATTAGATGATAGTGAGTCAGTTGAATAATATAATAATCAGTTAGTTACATAATGTTTAGAAAGTTAAAATTAAAAACGAAGTTGAGTTTTCATAGTCAATTAATTATTATTAAGTAGTTACATAAAATTAGGAATAAAATTTTAAATTGAATGTAAATATGTCAAGTATATTTACGAAGAATATTCTTTCGGATCAATTCTCTTCAGGTTCTACAATTCATATATATCCAAATTTATAATCTGAAGAAAATAGCCAAGTTAAGGGCAACGTATATCGTTTAAAGTATGTGAATTTAAGGATTGTGATAAACAGAATACAGTAAAATTGTTAATTACTAGTATAGGGGTTGTGGAGATTATTAAGTTTTTGATTGAAATCATGAAGCGATTGATGTTAGACCACCACCTTTGGAAACCTGGAAACACTGGAAGGCCGTTTCGTCCTATTGTGGGACTCCTCAGCAGTGCACATCCACGATCCCGCCCGCGGGATTCAAACCCAGGGCCTTCGGTCTCGCGCGCGACCGCTCAACCTACTGGACAACTGGGCCGGCATTCATATAGAATGTCAACTTGAATCTGCGTATATGTTAAGTGAAATTTAAGATCCATGATCAGAATAAATATGAGTTAGATAAATTGAGAGAAACAATAGTGCAATTACAATCCGGTCATATGTTGTGTGAAAAATTGGTAAGAGAAGGTGTTTTGTGGAGACTTTAGATTCATGAATTCAACTAGTGAAATTTTTAAAATCTCCACAAAACTCCGTCTCATAATAATCATCTGCTCACTAGTGACTGACTTCAAGTGGCATTTCAAGGAGTTCTAGTGAGTAGCCGTTACCAGTGGAGTCCAACCGGGTTTGTTGTGAGATATCAGCTCACTAAAGACAATGGTGTACGGTGGCGCAACTTCGTGGATTTGTTGAAGTTAGATATTAAAACCGTTGGATGCCGGCTCATGATTTCAACTAGTGAAAAATTAGTAAGACGTGATAAGGAGGGATAAATGAGAAGTGAATGAATCATGTATAGGGGAGATCAATAATGATTTTTAACTAGTGATAATAATAATAATAAAAATAGTAAAGATTTGTGAATAAAGATAAAAGAGACAATTACAATTGACTACCAAAGGTCGTAGTTAAATTAGGTCATTCCATAGCTAAGATTACGATTGATTAATTGGCCTTGATGTTGGTCAAGGGAGCAGTGGTTGAAGATATTTATTCAGTACACATAGATCCGGTTTTTTCATCCGGATGGCTACTACTTCAGCCGTTTAAAGGACTTTAAGTCTGACAAGTTTTGGCAAAAATTACTGACCTTACAAATAATTGAAAAAGATTGGTTTATACTGGCACTATGAACAGTTTGTACTAAATGGGCCAATATCGAGCAGTTGACTTTCTTCCTCAAACCTTTGTTTTATTAAATAAGATTAAAATTAAAAATTAAGATGTTAACAAAATCAAAGTTTTGGAAATTTAAAAGGAAAAGAAAAAGATTTTTTAGTAAACGTAATAGTATCCAAGTGAAAGATCGAGTTAAATTCTGAGGCTGTATAAACTTTTTTTCTGTAAACAGAAATTAGGTTAGTAGATATAGATTTCTATAATTTCTGGTGTAAGTAGGCATTATTCATCTGACAGATAAAATAAGACATTTATATTTTAATAGTTAAATTCATGAGTCGATCTAAGCTAGACCACCATTGAAAACCTGGAAGCACTGGACGGCCGTTTCATCCTAGTATGGAACTCCTGAGCAGTGCTCATCCACGATAGCGCACCCGGGACTCAAACTGAGGATCTTCGACCTCGCACGCGAGCACTTAACCAATAGACCACTGAGCCGGCATCCAACGGTGTTAACGTCCAACTTCAACTAATCCACGAAATTGAGCGACACGTTCACCATTGTCTTCATTGAGTTACTATCTCACAACAGACCTGGTTGAACTCCACTAGTCACTACTTCTCACTAGAAACCAGTAGGTCCTGAGTTCAAATCTCGCAGGGGGTGAGGTCGTGGATGCTCACTGCTGAGGAGTCCCACAATAAATGGTCGTACAATGCTCCCAGGTTTTCCATGGTGGTCTACCTTCAACTGACTGATGATCTTAACCACTGATATTTAAAATTGTTAAATATATCAGCTGCGTGATCACAGAGGAAAATGAACAAGAATTGGATGGAACTAGAAAAGAAGGCCCAGGACAGAGTGGGTTGGAGAATTCTGGTCGGCGGCCTATGCTCCATTAGGAGTAACGGGCGTAATTAAGTAAGTAAGTGATCACACAGAGAATATGGAATCATGTGAAAGTTGAATTACGCGAGATTACTACTCTTGATGCAGACTGTATCTAAATTGTAAATTACAAGTTGATCTTTGGTAGTTGGTAGGAATTTTTTTGATGGAGATTATTGGTAAAAGAAATAAAGAAATTTCCTCACTCTTAGCAGTAATTGGGGATTTGAAGGTATTATGATTACTTACCAGTTATTTTCAATTTAGTTTATGTGCACAAACTGATATTAACCAAGGAGAGCTCAACAGTTATTTTGTACAAACTTTGAACTCTTCAGGATTCGAGAAAATCAGAACGAAAACAACAATATATGAGGATGACATTCGACAAATGTAGCTTTATCTCATGAATGAACAGAATTTCCCAATTTTGACCATTTGACTGCTGTAGTATTTTCACCTGACTGATGATCGTTAAACTAGCACTAAAGACCTGTCTACCGATCACTTATTTTTAGTGGTTTCACTGTCTATATCATTTCTTGTGTTATTAAACTGAAATCTATAAACAGCTTAGGTCAAATTTTTTTTGATTAAGATCATGAACCGATTGATGTTAGACCACCACCTTTGGAAACCTGGAAGCACTGGACGGCCATTTCGTCCTATTGTGGGACTCCTCAACAGTGCGCATCCACAATCCCGAACGCGGGATTCGAACACAGGGCATTCGGTCTCGCGCGCGAACGCTTAACCAACTGAACCACTGAGTTGGCATCAAATGGTGATGGTGTCTAACATCAATCAATCCACAAAATTGCGCGACCAAATTCTGTTGTACTGAGGTAGATACCTGTCTCTACTCGACATGGATTAGTTCCACTGGTCACGGCTTCTCACTAGAACTCCGAGAATTCCCTCACGAAGCTAGTCACTAGTGAGCACATGTTGATTACTAGTATAGGGGTTGTAGAGATTATTAAGTTTTTGATTGAGATCCATGTTTCCAAAGGTGGTGGTCAAACATCAATCGGTTCATGATCTCAATCAAAAACTTAATAATCTCCACAACCCCTATATTAGATCAAATTGTTTTATCCTACAAGCTTGAGTTAATAAGGAAAACTGAGAAACAAGTATATGTTATCTATTTCCCTAGTAATTTAAGCTTAAGTAAGACTATAACGTTTATGCACCATGCTACACAATATTGTTTTACAATACATCACTATCATGTTTAACAAAACAAATATGTGTCTGCATATTTATAATGAAAAAGAATAGACGAAGTGGAGTTTATTCATTTAACTAATTAGTGCTCATCTATAGGTAATGAATTTAGTGTAACAGACATACAATGATTAAATTTATATTGATCTACTTAAATATTGTGTGATATAATGATTTTAATTGGTTGACTAGTGTATGTGCCCCATTTATATATTTATTCATTCCTAGAATTAAGAAATACATTGATCATTTTAGTTTCTTTTAGAGTAAAGTGTAATTCAGTGATTCTGATTCAATTTATATTTATATTTTTATGTTAATCATTTAAATTCTTTCACAAATATAATGAATATGTCATCGGGAACTTTTCATTTATCACCTTGTGCACCAATTACAAAGTTTTTTAGGGATAAATCTGTTAAAGAGGTTCGTGAAAACACATCACATATCAATGCACATTTGATCAGTATAAAAAGATGGTTACGTTCAATGCCACACCTTTCTTGTGCAGATGGTAAGTCACAATGGTGATATTTTACTGTAATAAATTTTATTTAATTTAAGTACGGATAGCAGATATTAACTGTTTACCTAAACGTTATTATAATCATTCAAGATAATTTAAGTATATTGAGCAGGTTGAATAGTTGAACAAGATTTCCAAATGAATGAAAATTTAGTCGGAATTGTGTTTAGACTGAGAGTTTATCATGCTCGGTTTTTTAATTGTTGAATTTATGAGTCGATCTAAGCTAAATCATAATTGAAAATCTGGAAACACTGGATGGTCGTTTCGTCTTAGTATGGGACTCCTGAGCAGCGCTCATTCGCGGGAGTTTTTTCTATGAGAACATTAATTGAAGTTCAACTTCAGTGTTCCCTCATTTTATAATAATTACAATTACACTATACAATTGCAAGATGTATGTTTTAATGTTAAACAGTGTGAGATAGATTTTTAGCATTTTAATTTATAACAGTCTGTAATGGAAGATAAAATTTATAATTCACAAGAATGATTTAATCTTATCTTCTAAGACTTCATCAACAGTATAAATTGATTTTATTAGCCAATGAAAAATATCGATCAAATGAAGAAATTGTAACAATTTCAATGTTTGAATTAGCAATGATGATGATGTCTGAAAATATAATGACAACGCTATATTTAGATCATATAGTTCCAAGAACTCAACAGTGTCAATAATGAAATATCATCCAAGAGATCCATCTTGATAAATTAGTTATATTTTTTCTAGCTTGGAGATTGGGTAATAAAGATCGAAAGAATCCAAATTACAATTTATATATTACAACATTGAATTATTTCTTATTTCTACAGTGTGTCTTACGTCTTATTTAGATAGTAATAAAATGTAAAATGAATAAATTAGTAACTAGTGCGATCTTAACAAAATGACAGAAAACCATCTTGAAGCTAATTAATAATAATCAAACGACAACTTATCATTTGGATGGTTCAGGATTAAAGTTGGGTTTCGTCATGGACTGCAATTAGTCAATGTGGATCCTAGGGAGTTTGGGAAATTCATGAAATGTATTTGTGGTGATTGTGGAGAACATTCGTTAAATGAAGTAGTACTTTTTTCTCACTTAGATTAAGGATTTCAGCGAAGATCATGAAGAATGTATGGATGATAAAAGACCAGAATGACTACTGACCTTCTGTGTTGATGAAAGCATTAAATATGTACTGTGCATTGTGTTTTCTGACTGCTGATTTGATTTCTAGTTGGTCGCTGATGAACTGTATTGTTACCTCACATGATGGTGTTAAGGGAATCTCTTGAAACGATCAAGCTAATCAAAAGTCTAATTTTTGAGAACGTTTGGTAATGTTTTGAATTTTAAAAAATAAAAAGATAAGACAAGTGTAATCCAGAAGCCGGGAAGTATTTTGGAAGGCAGAAGATTGATTTGTCTTAAATTTCAGTACCATAAAGTTTCTACAATGTTATTTTATAGACTTATTCGAGTAATATATAAATATATTTCTATGTTGCTAATACATTTCGACTAATACATACATCAAGTACTGGAAGCTATTGAGAATTAAATCAGGGAGTTATTACTGTTTCAATGGAATTAAGACAGAATTTGACTTTGTACGCGAATTCTATAAATGTTTCAATAAAAACGTTTTCCAACTAAACTGTGAGTATGTATGATATATTAATGGTCATTGTTAGCTAGAAATTTATTTGTCATAGGATATACTGGAAAGAATTAATGATAAATATGTACTTTGGGTACTTACTTACGCTTGTTACTCCCAATGAAACATAGGCCACCGACCAACATTCTCCAACCCACTCGGTCCTCGGCCTTCCTTTCTAGTTCTATCCAGTTGTTGTTCATTCTTCTCATTTCTCGGCGTAATATGTTCTTTCATCTTCCTCTCCTCCTTCGGCCTTAAGGATTCCAAGTTTGGGCTTGTCTTGTAGCTCAGTTGAGTGCTTTCCTCAAAGTGTGTCCTATTCACATGTACTTAGAATAACTATATGACAAAAATGTTTTCACTGTTGAGGAAATTTAGACTTTCTGACTAGGGATAACATTTCTTCATCCTTATTATTTCACGATTCTTCAGATTACTTTCTTTAGATTTTCAAAATCAATTTAGACTTGTATTTAGTAATTTCCACTAAAAAATTTTATGTTGAGCAGTCAAGAAACTAAACATAATCCCATGTCTTTTCAATAATTTCAATAATATAAAACTGATATATCTGATGAGACATTAATTCATTACTTGAATTAAAACAAGTAAGTATTGTATGTACAACCAATTTCATTAACAACATCAAATAATTATTACTACTATAATAATGAATTAACAATCAGATGCGGATAACCAATCTGTTACTTTATACAGAATATCTTTGTAAACTATAAAAACCATAAACTGATGATTCATTTGCAAATCTATCATTTGTCTTTCACCTTCTGTATGATTCTTCAAGTTCACAATTCCTTTCTATTTTTTTCTGTTTATTCCGTTCAACTCAATTTTCTTAATCTTCTACTTCCCGATTTTCTACTTCGGATTGGTGTTACGTACTACTGATACCACATACTTATTATTTTAAAAGTAATAAGAAAAATCTATTTTTTCACATTTTTTTCATGTTTATAATAGATTTTAAAGCAATTATGAAAATGTCAAGCTGTTAACTTTAACATGAGACATGAAGGGAATCTAAACACTATTTTGAGATCCAATAATGCTTGTGACATTGGAGACTCTTTGATAAACACAGTGTCGAAGGTCAATTATCTTAGTGTTACCTTTTCCTCTGATCTGTCTTGGTCTTCTCACGTTTTATTGTTATCAATGAAGGTTTTCCGTCTAACTTACTACATTAAAAGATTGCATGCTCTTGGGATTACTCGTCATTTACTCTTACAGTTTGTCAATTCTTGCATATTACCTATTATTCTTTACCATTCTCCATGATTCTTTACCGGGCCTTTGAGAAAAGACTTTGAGGTATTGCGGAGAGTACTGAAGGCCATTAGCATGGTGTGTGGTGAATCTTTCGAGGTCATAATTAATATGGTTGTGGATAGACATCCAAAGTCATGCAAACTCCTGGTAGGCGTTATCTTATCAGATACTAACCATCCCTTTCACTCATATCTTTCTCCTTGTATATCTTCTAGTAGAACGAGATGTAATTACATTAGAATCCATGCACGCAAGCAAAAGTATAAATGTTCTATAATACCTTACCAAGCAAATATACTCTGTGACGAAAAGGTTGTTAGAGTTAACCTAGTCAATAACCTGCATTCTTATCTGGTAATTTTTAATTATTTAAATGATGGAACGTTTTGTAATCAATTAATTAATCAGTGAAAATGACTTGAAATAATCATTTAGTTTTATTGATTTATTGGAAATAGAATTGATAAATTTAAATCATGAACTGACATTAGCTAGAACATTGTTACAAATTAGGAAGCATTAGAATGACGTTTCTTCTTGGTGTAACACATATCAACAGTGCACATTTACGATTCCAAATCCGATAATCGAACCCAGGGCTTTTGGTTTTCTGCGCAAACACTCTGCATTCAAACCACTGAGCCGGTATTCATTAGTATCAATGTTTAACTTTAGTCAAATAATGATCTTGTGAAACACTCATCCATTACCTACGGTTGGTAATTACCTTACACTAGACATGGTTGAACTCCACGAGGCACAGATTCTCACTAGAAATATGAGTTGCGTCTTGAAGACATTTACTAATGAGCTTACTTAATTGCTTACGCTTGTTACTCCTCATGAAGGAGTATGGGCCGCTCACCAGCATTCTCCATCCAACCCTGTCCTGGGCAAACCTTTCTAGCTCCTTCCAGTTGTTATTCATCATTTTCATATCTGCTTCTATTTCCCAACGTAGTGTTTTTTTTGGCTTTCCCCTTTCCGCTTTCCTTCAGGATTCCAAGTTAGTACTTGCCTCGTGATGCAGTTTGATGATCCGTAATGTATGTCCTATCCATTTCCATCGTCTTTTCCTAATTTCTTCTTCATTTGGAAGCTGGTTTGTTCTCTCCCAGAGAAGGCTGTTGCTGATGGTATCCGGCCAATGGATGTTGAGTATCTTGCGTAGACAGCTATTTAGAAATACTTGTACTTTCTTGATTGTGGTTGTTGTAGTTCTCCAAGTTTCAGCTCCATACAGTAGAACTGCCTTGACGTTCGTATTGAAGATTTCGACTTTGATTTTGGTTGACAGTTGTCTTGAGTTCCATATGTGCTTTAGGTGTAAGAATGAGGCCCTTGCTTTGCCAATCCTCAACTTTACATCTGCATCCGATCCTCCACGTTCCTCGATGATGCTTCCCAGGTATGTGAAGTATTCTACATCTTCCAGAGTTTCGGCATCAAGTGTGATTGCATTACTGTTCTTAGTGTTGTATTTGAGGACCTTGGTTTACCTCTTGTGTATGTTGAGGCCTACAGACGCAGAGATTGCTGCTAGACTGGCTGTCTTCACCTGTATTTGTTCGAGTGTATGCGATAGGAGGACTAGGTCATCTACGAAGTCCAAATCGTCTAATTGGTTCTGAGCTGTACATGGTATTCCGTGTTTTCCTTCAGATGTCAAGGTCTTCATAATCCAGTCAGCCACCAGAAGAAAGAGGAAGGGAGAGAGTAAACAGCCTTGTCTGACTCTGGTCCATACTTGGGATGCATCCATCAGCTGTCTTCCATGCACGACCTTTCACTGTAGTCCATCATATGAGTTCCGGATAATGTTGAAAATCTTCTCAGGAACTACGTGGTGTCGAAGAAGTTTCCATAATGTCCTCCTATCTACACTGTCGAATGCTTTTTCATAATCAATGAAGTTGATGTATAGTGATGAGTTGCACTCAACTGATTGTTCGACGATGATCCGTAGTGTTGCAATTTGGTCTGTGCACGACCGATCCATACGGAATCCAGCTTGTTGATCTATTGCATCTTTCATCCGGTCCAGCAACACTCTGTTAAAGACATTCCCTGGTATTGACAGTAGTGTAATGCCTCTGTGGTTTTCACATTTGCTCAGATCTCCTTTCTTTGGAATATTGATGAGGTGTCATTCTTTCCAGTCCATCGAGACTGGTTCTTCCTCCCAAATCTTCCTGAATGGAAGATGAAGCATGTTTGTAGTTACTTCGATGTCTGAGTTTAGTGCCTCAGATGTTATAATGTCAGGTACTGCTGCTTTCCCTCTCTCTTCCGTCGTTGATGGATTGACATCTATAGGAAGATCTGTATGTGCAGCTTTAATGTTCGGTGAATTTATTGGAGCCGGCCTATTCAGGAGTTCATCGAAGTATTCTACCCATCTGTTCATCTGTTCTTGAATTTCAGTAGTTAGCTTGCCTTCTTTGTCTTTGACCGGTCTCTCTGGTTTACTGTATTTCCCTGCTAGTTTCTTCGTTGTATCGTAAAGCTGTTTTATATTTCCTTCTCTTTCAGCCTTTTCCGCCGTCGTTGCTAGTTCTTCCACGTATTTCTTCTTGTCGGCTCTCATGCTCCTCTTCACTTGTTTGTTTGCTTCTATGTACTCAGCTTGTGCCTTGAATTTCTCCGCTGGTGTTCAGCTGTTGTTAATTGCTGTCTTCTTGTCCTTCCTTCCTTTGATCTTGTCCAGTGTTTCTATAGAGATCCATTTCCTATGATGATGCTTCATGAGGACCAGAACCTCTTGACACGTTGAAGTTAATGCTTCTTTTATGCCTTTCCAGTTGTCCTCCATACTAGTTTCTTCTTCCTTCAGTAGATCCTGTAAGGCTTGCAACCTGTTGTTGAGACCTATCTTGAATTCATTGAGTTTGTCAGTATCTCGAAGGAAGGCTGTATTGAACATTTGTAGTGCTCTCTGTCAAGTTGTCCAGTTCTTTTTTAGCTTCAGTTTTTAAATTGGCTACAACTAGGTGGTGATCTGGAGCTACATCAGCTCCTCTCCTGGTTCTCACATCTTCCATTGTCCTTCGGAATTTTTTATTGATGCAAATATGATTTATCTGATTCTCTGTAGTGTGGTCCGGTGAGATCCATGTAGCTTCGTGTATATGTTTGTGTGGAAATATTGTGCCTCCTATGATCGATTTGTTTAATGCACATAGATTTGCAAATCTTTCTCCAATTTCGTTTCTTTCTCCCAGTCCATGTCGTCCCATAATATCTTCATATCCAGTGTTGTCCATTCCGACTTTGGCATTTAGATCTCCCATCAGAATGGTGAGGTCCTTTCTTGGGCATTTCTCAATGACTGACTGCAGCCGCTCGTAGAATTAGTCTTTAATGTCGTCGTTGCTATCATTGATGGGTGCACAGCATTGTATAATATTCATTGTGATCCCCTCCTTTGTTTTGAATGATGCTTTGATGATTCTGGATCCGCGAGATTCCCATCATACAAGTGCATTTGGTGCTACTTTGGACAGCATTCGAGCAACTCCTTGAGTGTGTGGAGCATTTTACTCTTCGTGACTGGAGTATAGCAGCATCTCTCCCGTATCTGGCCTTTGTTGTCTAGCTTGGGTCTAGTGGGTTTCGCTGATTCCCAGTACTGTTAAGCTGTATCTCCTCATTTCCACTGCTATTTGATTGGTCTTCCCGGTCTCCCACATTGTTCGGACGTTCCATGTACCTAAAAAGTTGTTGTTGTAGTTGTTAGAAAGGGCATCGGCCTCGTGGCTTCAGAAGGAACTCGGGTTTCACCATGAAGCGTCATAGTTCTTTTGAATAAAGATCTTCTGAATCTTAGGGCAGAGTTTAAATGGTTTGAATTACTTTTTCTGGTTAGCGTTTTTTTAGCGAGTTAGTTTTCTACGGGATGGGGACGCTAACCCCATGCCCAACGCTCCTTTTTTTACCTGGGATTGGAACAGGGAGTAACTTTAGAAGAGCTACAGGCGGAGTTTTACTACCGAGCACGTGTTTGTTATTCATATTGAGAGATTTTTTTGACATTGTAGGATTTCCATAAGTTTAAATGACTAATTGATCTTATCTAGACTAATTTTGAAGGCATGGAAGCCAACTCAGTGGTCTAGAGGTTATGTGTTTGTGTACAAGACAGAAGGCCCTGGGTTCGATTCCCGGATGTGGTATCGCGGATAAGTACTGCTAAGGAGTTCAACACTATTGTGAAAAGGCTATTCAGTCCCTTCAGGTTTTCAATATTGATCCAGCTAAGGTCATTTTATAGTTTAAAATATGAGAATTTTATGACCACCACAAATCCCCTAGACTTATATTTTTTGGAATATATTTGATAATTTTGTTATAAGTATTAGAAAAAAGGGAAAATCTTACCTCTTTTTATGACTTAAGTTTTCGTTTCATCACTGAATTTGATGCTTATACAGTGTTAGTATGGCTATTATTAATTATCTAGCTTTTTTAAACATTTACATAAAACTGGACCATAACTCTAACATGATTTAAAATGTTTAGTAGGATCTAGATTATTTGAATTTATGAATGAGGCAAATGAAAATAAAAAAGTTTAACTTGAACTTGAACTGAACTTACGCCTGTTACTTCCAATGGAGTATAGGCCGCCGACCAGCATTCTCCAACCCAGTCTGTCCTAGGCCTTCCTTTCCAGTTCTATTCAACGTTTTTTCATTTGTCTCATGTCTGTCTGCATTTCTCGACGTAATGTGTTATTTGGTCGATACTGTTGCAAAGCACATGTCAAAAGAGAAAATAAAGTTTAAAACTTTTATAAATTGGAACAATTGAAATATATTCATTCATTGTTATCATTATGACAAATGATTTTAATTATACCAATGCTAATAATCTGAATGGATTTTGATTAGTCTTTGTCGATATATGAGCATCTAGTGTGGATTGTCTCAATATGGCCATTTCGTACAAGTTTTTTATTGAATAGGTAGTTCTGTGAGTTGTAATTGTTTCAAGGATACACCATCATCAATACTAGGATGGATATACATTAAGCTGATTCCATTGTTAGTCATAAATTCATTTATTCTATGCTGATTAACATGATGAAAGACCTAACGGAGTAGCTTAGTGACTAAGGTACTCGATGCCAATTAGTGAGTTGTAAGTTGACAAAGTTCATCTAGTTCTGTTCAGCACTACTAAACAGCATACAAACATTTTCACTAGAAGCTCATATTTGATCGTTATTATTAAAATTTCTGTCGAAATAAATAAATAAAACACCAGCTATGAATTTATGCTAATCCATACTTCATACTTATGTAAAGTAATAAATTAACGATTAGAAAGTATTCTGATTTTGAACTAACAGACCATATATTCAGTCTGTATCAATCACGTGGTATTCTTAACAAGTATTACCTAACATCAGACATTAATTCAAGACTTGATACTGATTACCTGTCAGTCAGATCTCATTCCAACATAGTGCACGTAATATCGAGTCATTTAGACTATTAGATACACTTTCAAATTGATCAGTAGAATTTTAATGGGTTCTATGTAGAGTTAGACAAACAATGACATTGGATAACATTCAGTAATCAAATGATGTTGTATATCTTAATGATTTTAAAGTAAATTTTATTTTTCAAATAACACTAATTAACCAAATCATAAGATAACTTACAATAGAAACTATATGAAGAATATATCATAAAATAGTGTTTATGTTTTGATGGAATCGACCAAACCATTCAGGTCAGAGAACAAAACTCCATCAAAATCATCCATTTGATCTACAAGTCTTCTCCATCATTGTTTATATTTTCATTTTAAAGATATAATCGATATATTGTCATTTTTTAGATGATCGAATATTCTTGCCATTTCTACGTCAAGCAAAATATAATCATTCAGAAGCTCAAATGCGTTTAGATAATTTTATTACATTGCGTACATCACCAGAAAGTCCTGTGGTTAATTGGTATGATCGTTCAACCATAACTAATACAATACTTGATGAATATTTAAACATGGGGTAAGTAATTGGTTGAGTAAATGTAGTTAATTAATTAGTTAATTAGCATTTAGTTAATACTGTGTTGCGTGCTACTTATTTCGACATAATTAGTATATAACGCTAGTCAGGAATAGAATATCTGGCAGCAGAAGTTTGAGAAGATCGAGAAGGGAAGAATGGGAGACAGAAGGCAATTGGTATGGAAATGCAGGACAATTAATCAACATTTTGCAAATAAAGTATTTACTGTATGGTTCTCAGATTTTACTAAGATATTCTGTTATGTTTTATTAAAATCCATTCGTCCCCACTTGTGTTCTCGTTCACTTCCGTTATTATCAGACGAGTCAATTCAGGTAGACGGCATGCTCGGTTTTTGGTGGAGTTTCGTTTAATGAGCTGGTTGGTTTAGTTGTTGAGCCTTCATTTTTTTGGACAACATCAACACAAACTTCAGGTAGAAGAAAAACCGAACATCATCTCTACCATTTCAGTCGTATGCTCAACTAAATATACTAGTGAGAAGACTGAGAAATGACTAGGAAGATTTCATTGACAAGGCAAAATGATAAAATACAAACATCACCGGTATATATATATATATATATATATATATATATATATATATATTTCTGAATCAGACTAGGTCATTAGGGCTGGGACCTTGATCACGTGCAGAATCGATTGCTTCCCAAAAAGTGACTTGTTTATCGTTTCTCAATTACCAGTTGAAATTGAGATGGCATGTGAACAAAAGCACATGATATGTCTAGATTTGTTCAACCTATTAGTGTCATAAATTAACTTTAGTTGATAAACTACTGGAAATGAGGGGACACTGAATTGTTTTCGCTTAGTTCTGAATTTCTTATAAGTGTACAATCTCTATCTCCAACCATGGGTTCAAACTCAGGATGTTCATGTTATACTATGAACTTGTTCCATTTAAACTATTAAATTGTAATCGAGCGGTCAGTAATTTTTATTTTACTGTTAAACGGACGTAATATCATATTAAAATGTAGGTAATAAGATGGAAAATATTTTTACAACTGATCTATCACTGAGTCGTGACCAATACCATGTATCTGGATAGCTCATTGGTCACGTTTCTGAGAAGGAAGCTGAGTAAATCAAGATTGAATCTGGTAGAGATTATTAATTCCCTCAGGATACATGTACACTTTTGTGATAAGTGTCAAACAGCATAAAACGTAGGTCCAGAGTTTCCTGTTGACTACCTCCAACCACTATCTAACATGAAAGAAGATTATTCTTTGCAATAAATTCTCATCATGCTTTAATGGTATAATGTATTTTTTTGGATTTTGTTGATATCGTAAACCGATTAAAGTAAGATCACAACTGAAAAGCTGGAAGTACTACGTTATATTCTCTGAGCTAGCTGGTTTAATTTCAAAGTTTTTATTGCTGTTCTGGACAACATCAGAGTTCACTTTGTATAGAAGTGAGCTGTTTATTTAATCCCCAATTGCTAGATCAGCCTGTTCCGATGACCTTATCTGTGATTAGTTTTTTTTCAGATTTTCTTTGATTTCCTACGGAGATTTTTGTTTTGTTGACCTCCGGCCACGTGACTGACTGACGGAATAGATAAGTTTAAGGGAAACACATTCAAAAAATTAAATATAAGTTCACAATCTTTTCTTAAGAAAATGTAGGGTAGAGAGTATTTACATTAGGTGAATTAGATCATCTAATACGTTTATAAAAATTTGATTATGCTAAGATCATAAATTGGACATGCCCCTTTTGATAATGGGGCTTCGATCTTACTTACATTATGACTAGCTATTTACAGTGTTAAATATACCGTTGCAGCATCACACACACATTGGAAGTTGTTTATCAACCTAGAAATGTGGTGGTCTAGCTTCAATTGACTCATGAATTCAACTATCAAATTACTATAATATCCACAAAACCCCTGTATGATTATAAATAATTTTTTTCATTAATTCAATGTTTGCTCATTCTTCTAATCAGCTTTCATTGTCCAATTGGATTCCTTCATGATGGGACATTTTTATTTCTGATTCGAATTGGTAAGTTATTATAATCTTTTGCAGATAAACATATATATATATATATAGTTGAATCAAACGAATAATCATATGAACAAGGGAAGGAAATACTGAACAGTGGGAATGAGTGTAACGTTATGATGAGAATTTAAGAATTTTATCATCAGTTTGGATGTTATGTAACATGAAAGTACAAAATTTACAGGAGATAATGTAAATGATCACGAATGGACATATAGACTTTTAAAAATAATTTTAAATGGATCTAAATTTAACACAGTTGGCTTAAATGACTACCAAGTTAATTCTTATTTAAGTAGTATCACACATTGATATGGATTACTGTAAGTGTTCAACACTCAGTCTTATATGACTAATAACTATGAACATGGGACAGAGTGATGGAAGAATAAATCTCTGGGTTTGAGTACACATCCTGTTGAAAAAGTGCTATTTATTTACTTGTATTAGTTGTTTGAGTCTTTCCATTGACCTTTAGGACTACAATAGATCAGTCTCTTTTTCAGTAGTGCAAAGTTTTGAAGTAGTGAGAAATCTTTGTTACTCAGATGGATGAATTCGGTTTTGTTGCATTCTGTAGGTTAGATGATCTAAGTACGAAGCTCTTGTTTTTATTTTGAACAACATCAGCAGAAGCGAGATTTCTGATTATTCGTTCTGATAACTATGTTTTCGACTGGTTATATTTACTGGTTTATTGTCTTTATGGGTTCACTTTGTTCCCTTTTGGCTGTTTGAACAGTTGGTATCTGACGATGGTGATTGTTTAACTTTTTCCAGATCGATATATAAATTTGATCTATATCGATATGTCTGTCAGTTGTTTTAAATTTAATGATTCTAGAAAACTTCTTGATCCAGAATTTTAAAATTTCCTTAATCAAGTTTGTGACTGTATGCATCAATATGTTTAATTATTAACTAACCAAGTAAAAAAATGAGTTCATACCATTCATCCGAACTAATGACCTTAATCAATCCATACTTTTTCATCTTTCTCCATTATCTCTGTCCTGAATTTGAAACATATGTATTACTAAATGGTCCCTTTATCCAGGAAGCTGCACGTGGTAAGAGATTGTATTTGAATAATAAATTTTTTTTATTATCGGAATAAGGATTTGTGGAGATTGAATTAATGAGTTGGTTTGAGCTAGACTACTTTTAAAAACCTGGGAGCACTGGACGACCATTTCGCTCTAGTATGGGACTCCTCAACAGTGCGCATCCACGATCCCATGTTCGCGCGCGAAACTGGAGATCCTGGGTTGGCATCCCGCATGCGGGATCGTGGATGCACACTACTCAGTAGTCCCATAATAGGACAAGACGGTTGTTTAGTGATTCCGGGTTTTTAATAGTAGTCTAGGTTAAATCAACTCGTGAATTCAACTCTTAAAATAATGTTTTTACTCCAAACAATACAATATTTAATTCTTAGTTAATTTGACATTTTCAGAGTATGCATTAATTATTTTGTTTTTAGGTTGCTGGAACAATAATCGTGTATCTACCGAGAGTGTACTCAAATTACTCATGATTCAGTTAGATCGTATCTTGGAAGATCCAAGAGTTCAAATTTGTGGTTTGCGAGTATTTATTGATTTCACCGGTGTCTCACCTTCTCTATTGGATACAATTAATCCGAAAAAGACCATTAAAGATTTAAGTAAAGTATTACAGGTAAGCCTTTATATGTATATACATACATTTTTTCGATCCAGTAGAAACATTGTTTTCATATTAACTGATTAATATAATATCAAAATATTTAGTTTCATAATAAACAACAATGTACGTACACAATTCAAATGACAATTGCGTAAAGTTAGGCAAATGCATAATAATATGAAAGGATCGATCAGCGTCTTGATAGCGATTTCAAGGTTACAATCCGTCTTTGAACTGAAAATGCCCACCATTGACAAAGCGATATTGTGTGGTTTTGATGAAAGCTTGATTGTACAATACTTTCAAACTGTAAGTTTGTTGCGAAGAAAAATGCAGTGTAATTGCAGTTTGCAAATTAATAAAGATGTTTATGAAATGAAGCATGAGGGTTGTTTTCAAATGCAACTGTTGTTACAAAAAATGTTCAGTAGAACAAATTACATCAAGGCTGATTTTAACATAAATGATGTTACTGGTAATATAATGACTGTTGGGCCAGATTTGATGAATTTAACGAAAGTGACTGCAATCCATCGGTATCAGTATATATCGAGAAATATTCTTAGAAATATTGTTTAGTTATATTGGGAAAAGTTGTTAAGACAAGGGAGACAATAATCACAAAACATAAATGTAGCAAGGGATGGAGTGTAAAGGAGGATTGAGTAAGTGTCAGTAAGTTTCTGGAACATGGGATGGAATACTATTTAAAAGTCAATTCAAAAAGTGAAAATCCAAATATTAATTACTGGTATGGAGAGCCAATCATAGGTAGCCTAATGAGAAAGTCAACCGATGGCAATCAGAAGTGCCCTTAACGACAAGTGCATTTCACTGGCCGAGAAATTGATTAATTTCTTAAGGATTAGAGTGATATATATATTATATATATATATATATATATATATATATATATATATATATATATATATATATATATGAGTCTTTGTACATTTTGTTCGGTAGCCCAATACACTTTTTGGCTCACTCTTGTGTTCTCGCTCAAGTAGTCAATTAGAGAGTTAACGCGTAGCACACCAGATTTTGGACATTGTTCGTCACAACAGATACTTATACCAATAATTCAGAAAATTATTCAATCTAAAACAAGGGTGCTTATGCCTGACTGGGGGTTTATAAATCCCTTTTCAGACTGAAATATTGTTATCATATTGTTGTTTATAAGAAACACTGCAGATTCATTGATAATTGTAGATATATCGAGGCAAAGTGAACATTGTTCAAAAACTATTTGATTCCGTGCAAAAGGTTTCAAAATGTAGCATGCTGCATATGCATACGGAAGAATATATAAATTGCTATTTTTGTTTTATAGACAGAAACCTCTATAGGCAACTTCAATAAATCCATTAACCATCCATAGTTTTTTTCCAATATTCAATAAAAGTGTGATGTTTAATAGTTTCAAGGGTTTTCTCCTTTGTCTAGTGGGTGAGTGCTTCATATGAGGATATAAATTATCCCGGCTAATGTAGATATGCCTTCCATGAACATCGCACTATAGAGAATTCCAAATTATCAGATGAAAATAAGCAAATAAAGTGAAAGTTAGAGCTTGCAATGAAAATCTCAGTGTAAATTATGCTCATACGTGCTACACTCATCCCCTAGATGAACGGGAAAATTACCCCAAAATAATTTCTACCGTACACATACTGGACAATCAATAAAGAGGATGTGGAATAAATTCACAGACATGTATCCAATCTCCGTGGTCAGTTTTATAAACGAATTAAAATTTTGAAATTACTTTAAAAAAAAAGTTAACCTTAATTGTAACTAATTATTTTCTGTTAGGAAGCTTATCCATTTCGTATGAAAGGAATAATCTATTATAATGAACCGCCAATTATGGAAGTTTTGTTCAAATTACTAGCACTTTGGTTAAGACCAAAAGTTAGAGAACGGGTAAGTTTTCTAAAAATATTTTTGGTATTCATATCAAATGCACAGAGAAGGTAAAATGTAGCTGGCAGTTGAATCGAGGAAGCGCTTGTCATTTCATTTAGGACTCGTTAGTAGGATGTATCGCTTCATTTCTGAGTTGATTTTCACTCCGGGATTAGAACATAGTAACGCTAGCTCGAAACTTTAACGCGTTTTCTATTTAGCTACTCACTTGTGCACCTAGTATGAATTTCATTTTAATTCGTGATGTTCTGGATTATATAGAGTGTGTTTGCAGCATTAATTTAGATGGGAGTGTGTTGATTAGTACTGTTAGGTTACAGTCAAATTAAACTTTACATATCAGATTTCATTTTCCGAAGTTTACAGCCACTTTTTATCCTGACTTGACGCTTAATAACGTTTTTATATGAAAAGATAAAAAATCGTTTATGTCGAAGGCCACAAATCAAGGAATATAATGTTAACTCGTAAACAGATTTACTTAACAAAAATATTTTTTAACAGTTAGTAACAAATACTGTGAATAAATGTAGTTGAGTTTCAAGCCTGCATTATGGTATGCCAAATCGATTTAGTCCTTATCACAGGTATCTTAACTGCTATTCCTATTAACCATCAGAGATTACGAGACTAAGAAAGGGTAGAGAGCTTTAATGACAAAACCGAATAAAAGTATGGGCGACTTCTAGGAATTTCGATCACACACTTACTAATACAGATAAGGGTATGTAGGTTGTGACCTTGGTAAGATGAATAACTTATTTACTTATAATAGTCCGTCCTTTTCTACATTTTTCAGTTAGGCTCTACCACGCTAGATAAATCATTTGGAAGACGGTAAGTTTAGAAACATAAAACTCATGGTCCAAAGGTAAAGCTGTATTATCGTTAGGACAATGAGATTAACTTTTTAGATAATCGGCATCTGGGTTGATGCTGACTTCCTATAACGGAGGGATTTATAAATGACTGGGCCTAAAAGTAACACACCTTATTCTACCCTACGGATTTCCGCCTCATATGATAAAGTCTATAAGATATATAACTAATTCATAACGACTACTGGCAAGAATGTCATTTATGACCAGTCCTTGAGCTTTATAATCACGCTATCAAAACCAATTGTAACTCAATTTCATTTACAAGTATCACAAAAAGAAGTATCCTATGATAGTGTGGCCAACCCTAAAACAACCTATACCTTTTTGATAGTATTTGAGAACATTTTGTTCATTTAGTTTCATTTCATAGATCATCATGAAAACTAAATTCAAATGAACTAACTTTCATAATTAATTATGTATTCTGTAAACTAGATCGTTTCATTATAAAGTTTACATTATCATTCAAAAAGGTATTAATTAATTAACTACTTTCATGAATCCGGTGTCCATCTTGTTGTGTTAATGAGGTATAGCAATTTGGACCGATGCATATATGTGTCTGGTCCTACGTTGTAGCTGACTGACTGACTGAATGACAAAAAGACATTAGTATTTATGATATTTTTTTGTAATGACACTGAAAGCTTCACAATTAAACCATGTATAGTAAACAATGAGTCTACTTTTAAAATGTAAACAAATAGAGAATAAGTAATACATGATTGATTATTATTATTATTTGAAAGTTAATTCTTGTTGCTACATTAATAATAAGACATTTTCTGTTTGTTTCACTTTGAAAATTATAATAATGTAAGTGTGACTTTGTTTATGTTTAAATGAATACTGACACATTTTAATTAAACAATAATGAAACAAGTGAAGTTTATAATGTTGATATTGGATTATAGAAAGTAAAAGAAAAAAAAGATTGTTCTTATGAAATGAAGAAATTATACAACTTTCATACTTACTTACTTACGCCTGTTACTCCTCGTGAAGGAGCATAGGCCGCTCACTAGCATTCTCCATCCAACCCTGTCCTGGGCAATCCTTTCTAGCTCCGTCCAGTTGTAATTCATCGTTTTCATATCTGCTTCTATTATCCGACGCAATGTGTACTTTGGCCTTCCTCTTTTTCGCTTTCCTTCAGGATTCCAAGTTAGGGCTTGCCTCGTGATGCAGTTTGACGATTTGCGTAATGTATGTCCTATCCATTTCCATCGTCTTTTCCTAATTTCTTCTTCAGCTGGAAGTTGGTTTGTTCTCTCCCACAGAAGGCTATTGTTGATGGTGTCCGGCCAATGGATGTTGAGTATCTTGCGTAGACAGCTATTTATAAATACTTGTACTTTCTTGATTGTGGTTGTTGTAGTTCTCCAAGTTTCAGCTCCATACAGTAGAACTGCCTTGACGTTGGTATTGAAGATTCTCACTTTGATATTGGTTGAAAGTTGTTTTGAGTTCCATACGTTCTTCAGTTGTAGGAATGCTGTCCTTGCTTTGCCAATCCTTGATTTTACGTCTGCATCTGAACCTTCTTGTTCATCGATGATGCTTCCCAGGTATGTGAAGGACTCTACATTTTCCAGAGTTTCGCCATCAAGAGTGATTGGATTGTTGTTTTCCGCTTTGAATTTGAGGACCTTGGTTTTCTCTTCGTGTATGCTGAGGCCTACTGATGCAGAGACTGCTGCTACACTGGCTGTCTTCATCTGCATCTGATACAAATTTCATGTTAAGTATAAATACAAAAGTAGTATTTATTTGATTATTTACTAAAACATTATTGATCACTTTAACTTAGTTTCATGATTTCTAATCTAGTTGCTAATAAATCATTTCGAACGAGAATAAGTCAGCTTTTACTTACTTTACTTACGCCTGTTACTCCTAATGGAGCATAGGCAACCGACCAGCATTCTCCAACCCATTCTGTCCTGGGCCTTCTTTTCTAATTCCATCCAATTCTTGTTCATTTTTCTCATGTCTATCTACATTTCCTGGCGTAACGTGTTCTTTGATCTTCCTCTTTTCCTTTGGCCTTGAGGATTTCATTTCAGAGCTTGTCTTGTGACGCAGTTGGGTACTTTCCTCAATGTATGTCTTACCAACTTTCAGCATTTCTTCCTGATTTCTTCCTCCGATGGGATCTGGTTTGTTCTCTCCCATACTAGGTTGTTGCTGATAGTGTCTGGCCAACGAATCCGAAGTATTTTTCGTAGACAGTTGTTAATAAACACTTATATGTTCTGGATGATGGTTTTCGTAGTTCTCCAAGTTTCAACCCCATACAGTAAAACAGTTTTGATATTTGTATTGAAAATTCTGACGTTGGTGTTAGTTGACAATTGTTTTGAGTTCCAGATGTTCTTCAGTTGTAAATATGCTACTCTTGCTTTACCGATTCGCGCCTTCATATCTGCATCAGATCCACTGTGTTCATCAATGACGCTTCCCAGATATGTAGAGGTTTTTACATCTTCCAAATCTTCTCCGTCAATTTTGACTGGATTAGTGTATGCTGTGTTGTATAGGAGAATCTTGCTTTTCCCAGGCGGAGTTGAATAAGTCAGCTACATATAATTATTCAATAATTTCCAAATTACCTTATTCATAGTGATAATTATTTTGAATTTAATGAACTCGACAGAATAGTCCAGTCCAGACTATTGTTGGAAGTGAGTTGGTAAGAGAGAGAGAGAGAGAGATGCTCGTTGATAATCACTACTATTTCGATTTGATGATTGTGATACAATATATATTGATATTCATGTTAATTACTTATTCATAATCATCATCACATGATTATGTATCGATTATTTTATTGATTAATAAACTGGATCTCTAATGACGTATCTTCTCAAATGTTCTACATTCAAGTATTAAATTTTATATGATTCAGAAACATTTCTACATTGTTTTTAATTATAAACCGTAAATTCAAAACTTATTATACATGACCTTGAATGAGAAAGTATTGTGTGTGTGTGTGTATTTATTTACATTAACTTTATTCAATATGACTTATTATTATTATTATTGTTGAAACCATCCACTCGTGTAGATGACATTGATGTTCTTGTTTTGTTTATCACTATCGTATATTATGATTGATGTGATACAACTGTGTCATATTGTTTGTTAATACCAGAAGTTTATTGAAATATTGGAAATGATCACTATTTCAAAAATAATAGTTTTAGTTCATTTGAGATTAGTTTCGTGATTATAAAATGAGATAATCAATAATTTTGTCAGTTTTAGATGGTGGTTGGAGGTAGTCAACAGGAAACCCTGGACCCGGGTTTCGTGCTACTTGGCACTTGTCAGCAAGGTGTACCTGTACCTCCAACCACCATCTAAATCTCAATACATAGTGCCCGCAGTGTCGAGTCACCTAGATTGGTGGCCACATTGCAACATGATCGATAGCATTCGATCTGCACTAATAAGGACTAGACAAGCAAGACATTGATCACCACCCAGTGATCAATCAATTGTGAAATTTGCCAGTGTTATGATTCTGATAAACGGTTATGATCGCGTGAAAAAAACCCAAATTACTGTCATTAGTTGATTTTGTCACTTAAATATCATTGCATATGTAACTAAATGTATGTTGTTTACTTGATTTAGTACAGTTTTTCTATCCCAATGTAGTGGACGCTACTCACAAGATCTCTTGTAAATAGTATATAGTGGAACGTGGCTTCGAAGTTGTCACAGTCGTTAGGTGGAATGAAGAGTTTCAGTACATCGAACGCATTGCGTAGGGAAAGCAGTTGATGGCCAAACAAGACAGTTTAGTTTTCAGAATACATAGCGAGATGTAAATGGATGATCGTATTATCTAAATACTACTGTAATTTCTCTTAACCGTTGGTCGTTGTCCTATTGTATACCGGCCGAAACATCTTTACGGATATGAAGGAATAAATTAGTTGTGAAATGAGGAATTATTTCAACGCGAAAAATAGATTCAATTACTCTGATATTCATGGATCTTATTCGTACTGATCAATATTTAGATTTTTGAACAATACTTGACTTGCTATCACTCATTACTAAATAATCAACAGCTAATTATATTCAGAATGGGTTTTTGTGGAGAGTTTAAGAAATTTCACAAGTTGAAATCATGAGTCAGTTGAAGCTAGACCACCATTGAAAACCTGGAAGCACTGGACGGCCGTTTCGTCCTGGTATGGGACTCCTCAGCAGTGCGCATCCACGATCCCGCACCACGCGGGGCTCGAACTCAGGACCTACTGGCTTCGCGCGCGAGCACTTAACCACCATACCAGGACGAAAGAGCCGTCTACTGCTTCCAGGTTTTCAATGGTGGTCTAGCTTCAACTGACTCATGATTTCAACTTGTGAGCTAATTATATAAACACAATTTATAGATATTTCAAGATTAAAACCTTACAATCCTAAAGCGTAGCTGAATTATATACTTGCTCCTTCCTGAGAATCACTCATTTTCTAGTATTCCGTTGGAGATCAACTTTAAAAGCCGTTGCCCTCCTTCATATTAGTAAAGATATTTTCTTCTTTAAAACTTAGAAATTAATTTGATTTCAGTTTTTTTGTTTATCAGGAGTCCTATCACATGTACAGTGAACTATTTTGTTTTAAAATCATACAGACATTACTTATAATACTTCTTTTTGTAAGTTGAGCACATGATCAGAATATACGTGTTTATTCAGTTTCTTTACTCCTTGATTTGATGATCAAGACATCAAAAGATGTCTTGTTATTCTACTTCTTTCGTCTTGTTAATCAAACATAATTTAAAATGGTATTGACACATTTCTAAGTGTTGTTTCTAATGTTGTTCTTCTTGAAAGATGATGAATGCGTTATAATTAGTTAAATTGTAGGTAATAAATGACGAGTAAAGAGGAATAGATCATTGGTTGTATTCAGGTTGTATGACAAGAGTTAACGCGTTATTCATTTTGGAAAGGTCAGCGTTCATATGTTGCTATCATTATTGTCACTTATAGGTATTCTTGAGCCGAGAATATTTTTGTTAGGCTTTTCGAAATAACTCTTTCCATGGAAGCTTAGCTTACTCAACGTAACTAGTTGGTGAAAGATTAAGGATTCGGAAGCGATTGGGTCGGATAGCAGAACATAATAAACTGTGAATTATTTTATGGTAGATTCTACCATAAATTTATCTACTAACATTGTGGTTGACAAAAATGTTCACTTGTATGTACGTGTACAGAAGCTTTAAAATAAAGATATATTATTAGGTTTAAACTCGATCAACTCCCTGTGTCTTCCAAGTTTTTTGATGAGAAAAAAAAATCTTAAAAAATAATCACAGAAAGCTATGGAAGATGGTTGTACACTATTATGGACGAATCAAAGTTAAATTTGCGGGTCCCCGTTTCAATCCTCGATGGGGTCAAGGAGCACGCAGAATCAGTTTCGCACTAAGTAATTGTTCAATACGTCTTGGTTTCAAATGGTTTACATAAGAAAGACTAGAAAGGTAAGCTTAATGGAATTAAATAACTTCGTAACATGTGATCCAGGCAAATACTAATATTACACACAGCATTAACATTTCCTGACCAGTACCAACGATTCACGTGTTCATATTTGGTCAATGTTTACTACATTGGAATCTTCATTTATTGACATTAGCGAACAATTAACTCACAACCGTATATGATTTTCTCATTTTTGTCATATAATTACTCACTTATTGGATAAATCGACAAAATCGCATACAAATGGTTATCAGGCTCTTGACTTAAAACAAGTTTTTTTTCTTTTCTTTCTTTTCCAACAGTTTATAAGAGTAAAAGGTAATATAAAGAAAGCCTATGAAAAAGTACCCGGTCTTGAAAGTGTACTGCCTAGAGAATATGGTGGTCACAATAGAAGTATTAAAGACATTTTAAGTGAGTTAGTTAACAGGAAAAATGAATAAATTACTATAATTATGATTATTATTTCATATATCTGATAAACGTAATGCTAGAGAAGTTGATTTTCTGGTCGATTTTTGGGCTCTTGGAACCGTTGTCACTTGCGTTCTGAACGAAATCAAACAGGAGGAAATATATGGAAGGAACTTTATTCCTAAGGCTGATTCATGAACTAAGAAGAAAGGTATTTATTAAGCGATTACAAGTGGCCATAAGGAAAATGTGAAAATATGTATGGATCTCATACAACTTACCTTTAATTTACATGATATATGAAGGTACCATCGAGATGAGTATTACATCATCCTTCAAAGATGACTAATTGTTAAACTCACTGAATCATTATGAAGTTATGCCTTGTAATCATGGAACAGTATTAATTAATAATAATATATATGTGATTTTAAAGTGAGAAGCTATTACATTTTATCCCATGGTATGGGAAAAATTATATCTAGTGAAGTTAGCTTATTCATAGATGGGTGATAAGGGTATATTTATACATTTTGGTACATTCAAAATGACAAGAGTAGAAGTAAATTCAAGGTTCTTAATTCGTATGCAACAATTATTAACGGGGTCCTGCCATGTTATGTTGATAGGAGCCTTGCACTTACTTGAAGTGTTGACTACTCTGAGCTGGATGGTTCAACTGAGGAAATTTAGTTGTCCTTATTGAAGCATTTTTTAGTGCCTACTTCAATTAATCTACCATCACTAGATCAGTCTTCCATAATGACAATGTTCCCGACCGGTTGTCTTTATAGGTTTTATCAGCCTCATTCATCTTACAGGTGTTTTTCCCAGTGATTATGTGATATATAGAACTTTTCCTTTCAAGTTGATATATTAAATCTAATAATAATGTGTCTGTTGATTGCAGACTATCTTCAATGACAAGCTCTTAATAATTCTCGGGAATTCGTAAAATCCAGCACCTATTTACGGACTTAAGTCCGTTTTTTGTTTCACTTTATACTACTAACTAGGATTAAGTAGCACGAAAAGTTGTGACAAAATTAATTCCAGCTGAAGCGTTCATTACAACTGTCTTGTTCGTGGTTACATTTCTGTCATTGCCCGAACGAGCTAACCAGTCTTACTGAATCTCCAACATGACCTGTGCATGTTCTTCTCTGATGAAATCATACAATCTGTTCATTTTGATAAACATATGTATACTTCCATTTGATTGTGGTTCTAACTATGACTAGGACAAGGATGATTGATTTACAAGCTCCCTACTTTAAATATATGGTTAATTATAATAATGGAGTATTGATGTAACGTAAAAATCAGTCTACGTATTTTTTAGTGTATAATGATGACTGTATCTAATGATCATAATCTATAAAATAGGCTTATCTTAGAGATCTACTGAAAATCCAGTACTGGATAGTTTTTTCCCAATTATGGGACTCCTCAGTAAAGTACAAAGTGGTTGTGCAATATTACTAATTGATTGAAGTTAGAAATGCAAATTCTATCAACAAAATAGTCCAAAGACTAATTGTTTACCGGGAAACCTTAGAGTTTTGGCTTTCATATTCGGTGAAATAATGGATGTCAAGGAATTTTATACTAAAACGACACAACTGTCCAGTACTTTCTGGTTTACATTGTTTATATAACTGAGGTCAGTCCATGATATAAAATATGGAAGTATAAACTCTTCACAGATTTTCTATAATAAACGATTATCAATATGAACTTCCCAATACTACTTAATGCATCATAGGTGATTTGTACGAACTAAAAGACCCATTCAGTATTAAACAATTATGTACTAACCTCCAAGAATAATTGAGTTGCAACACATACGATTCATGTTTGTAATATCAGTTTTGTTCAGTTTAACTCTGAGTTAGTTATCTTAGTAATACTATTACACAATCGAAAGTTATTTCAAGGAAAGCATACAAGCATGTAAAGAGGAGCAACTTTTTTCGCTAAAAACTATAATGCTTATGTTTGTCAAATTTTATCTATTATTTCCCTCCTTTTCATACATATGTGTCTGACAAACAGAAGAACAAAACGCTGATTTTAAAGAATACTTTTTAAGAAATGAAATATTATGGAAAGGTATGGCAGTCAATGAAAGAAAACGACCAGAATCATCGAAACGATTAATAGGTGAATATAAAGAAGCTGATGATAGATCAATGGGTACAACTGGAACATTTATTCCATTACCTGTGAATGACTGATTTCTGAATTCATGTCGGATTACATTTAGACGATATATTTTTTCTTTAATATCAAAACCAACAACAATCAAAATAGATGTAAATTTGTATAATTTAATAGAATGAAAGCAATTAGTGATCACTTAATATTATTATGGTGAAATAGAAAGTACAAAAGTTTCGATTTTTTTCTTTCGTACGATTTAATGCCAATGTATATCTTCAAAAGATACACTGATATACAATGCAATCAATTTAATTGATTAGATGAAGATTAACCGATAAGTGTAAGCTTGAATCAAATAGATGTAGAATGGTTAAACAAAAAAAGATTTTTGATTGAGATCATGAATCGATTGATGTTAGACCATCATTGAAAACCTGGAAGCACTGGACTGCCGATACGTCCTATTGTGGGACTCCTCAGCAGTGTGCATCCACGATCCCGCTCGCGAGATTCCAACACAGAGCCTTCAGTCTCGCGCGCGAGACCAGACTACTGAGCCGGCATTCAATGGTGTCTAACATCAACCAATCCACGAAATTGCGCGACCATCTCCCACTGTGCTGAGGTAGATACCTGTTTCTACCCAACACGGATTAGCTCCACTGGTCACGACTGGATTTATGAACTTACACAATTTTTCTTTAAAATTAATAATTCACTTACTGGTTTAAGATCTTCATTACAGTACTATGAGTTTTTATCAAACTACCAAAATGGTTTTATTTAGAAATTTACCTTGAAATTAGTGACTAGGTAATGGAATGTAAAATTATTTCAGATTTGAATAATTCACACAGTCAATATTTAAATAACGATTAATACAAATTATGTGAAAAGATTAGTTGACACATTTTCAGTATAATAGAACGTTTAACATATAAATTATTATCAGAAGGGGTTTGTGGAGATTTTAGAAATTTTCACAGATTTAAATCATGAGTCAGTTGAAGCTAGACCACCATTGAAAACCTGGAAGCACTGGACGGCCGTTTCATCCTAGTATGGGACTCCTCAGCAGTGCGCATCCACGATCCCGCACCACGCGGGGCTCGAACCCAGGACCTGCTGGCTTCGCGCGCGAGCACTTAACCATTAGACCACTGAGCCGGCATCCAACGGTGTTAATGTCTAACCGCGTGGTGCGGGATCGTGGATGCGCACTGCTGAGGAGTCCCATACTAGGACGAAACGACCGTCCAGTGCTTCCAGGTTTTCAATGGTGGTCTAGCTTCAACTGACTCATGATTTAAATCTGTGAAAATTTCTAAAATCTCCACAAACCCCTTCTGATAATAATCATCTGCTCACTAGTGACTGACTTCAAGAGATACTCCTGGAGTTCTAGTGGGAAGCCGTTACCAGTGGAGTTCAACCAGGTCTTTTGTGAGATATCAGCTCACTGAAGACAATGGCGTACGGTGGCGCGACTTCGTGGATTGGTTGAAGTTAGACATTCACACCACTGGATGCCAGCTCAGTGGTCTAGTTGGTTAAGCGCCTGATGCGAGACTGATAGGTCCTGAGTTCGAACCTCGCGGGGTGCGGGATCGTGGATGCGCACTGCTGAGGAGTCCCATACTAGGACCAAACGGCCGTCCAGTGCTTCCAGGTTTTCAATGGTGGTCTAGCTTCAACTGACTCATGATTTAAATCTGTGAATATAAATTATTATTGAATATAATCGAAATTATTGATGTAAACTTGTGGGAAACCCATTCAACTATTGTATTATTTATTTGCTCACTGTAATTTAGATACTTAATCCATTATGTAATTTTCTGTGTGAGTCTGATTGAACATATGTCAATCATTCTCCCATTGGTTGTAATATACAGACAATCAATAATTTATCCATGCTTGATTAACACTCATTAATATATATGGATTTTTAACACTCAAATACACACTTGTTTTTCCTATGTGCTTGCGGATTTTACCAATCTTTAACAATAAACTATCTCTATAGCTGGTGTTTAGGCTTTTGAATAAATCTTAAGTAAATCCATACTTCTGCTAGAAGATTTAGTCTGCATTAAATACTCAGTTAATGGGATATAGTTAGATATAAGGGAAATTAACCTCTACAAGCTTCTGAAATTTATTTATTTGGTAACAACTAAGAGGATGGTACCAAAATTAACAATGAAATGTTTTTTTTAAAGATAAACTGACCTGGAACAAAGAAATAATTGAACTTATCAACAAACAACTTAATTGGTAGATTAGGGATGATAAGTTAGCTGTGATAATCGAAGTGAAGCGATTCTAACATTAACTGGTTTAATGCAGCCCCTTTCGTAAAAATGGCAAAATCTCTTTGCCGAACATTTTATTTTTGAAGTTTAAATAATGGATTGACTTAAGTTTAAGAATCCCTGAAAATCAAGAAGAACTGGATAACTGTTCCATCAACAGTGCCCATCTACAATCCCGTAGGTAATCGATTGAGAAATTTCAATTTTCGTTAGTACTTAACATTCAAATCAATGAGTTTGGATTTGACGGTCCACAATTTCAATTTTAGTCAATTTGTAATATAGCGGAACTATCATCCATTGCCAGTGGTGGTACTTGACCTACAGCCGACATGGTTGTACTCCATTTGGTTACGAGAATTTTTTTGAAGTTAGTTACTAATGAAGATATGATTACTACTAACAATTTCATAGTTGGCTAGTTCTTAGTGCCCGTCTAATTTAAGTTGTATTCGTACTATTAGTTGGCATAATAAGATGTACCTAGAATCGTCGGAGAACTGATGCTTTCCATAAGACTGAGTCTAATGTCATCATAATATCAGTTATTATTATTATTATATTATACTGTACAATGATCACGTTGATATTAGTATACCTAGTATCATTAGCTGTGAAGTATAAAATTTTATATAAAAAGAACCTGTACTTGGTATCGTTAATGATTTATCATAGAACGAAAATATTTACCAATAATAATATTATTAATAATAATTATTATCACAAATTATTTATGGTCAACTGAAATACCGATGATTAAACCATACACAGAATAGATAGAAACAATGTAAACAAACTCTCTAGAAGCTGAGGAAAAAGAGAGCAAAATGTGAAAACAATTTCTGTACATACACATTTATCCATACAACATAAAACATTGGAAACAGTAGTCAGTATAAAAACACAATCTCCTATGCACACACATACAGCCTACTCTTATTGCTTGAAGAAAACAAAACAACATATAGCGGTGTATATATGGATGAATGTAGTGGTCTAAAAAAGCGTGCTTTATTTCACTAATACTCTCTGTTCTCTCTCTCTCTCAGAGTACAGACAACAAAATTAATAACAACACTACGACACTTTTCTCATCTTTCCCTTCATAATCACTTACAAGATAAGCAAGCAAGAAAGAAAAAACTCTTTGACATATACATCCATTCAATATAAGCATTAAACCATGGTATCCAGTAGGATACACACAACAAATGGACAAAAAAACTAGACTAAATAGGGGAGGGTAGGAAGAGAGAGCCTTTAATAAAAAAAAATACATACATACACAAAATGATAAATCTATTACGTTTACTTTCGTTACAGACAAAACGAAACATTAGAAAAAATCAAATGTGAAATAGAAACAATGTATGTATGTAGTTAAAGGATGAAGTACCGCTAGGTTGTTGTTGTTGTGTTTTTTTTTTTTTACCTCGAACAGTATGTTTTTTTTTCTTTAATGGAAAAAATTAATTTTTTTTTTCCAGAATATTTGTATTTTAGATACGAATCAAATAAGAGGTAATTGATAACCTGAAAGCTAAAATTGTTCACTCATTCAAAATGAAGAAGAGTAAATGAAGAGTAAAGATAATGAAGGTGTTGATTCAAAGTAGAACTATTAGATTATTTTATTGTAATAAAAAAAGGGATGCTAATAATAAGGGGATAGGAAGTAAAAGTTATACTACTATTCACAAAATAAAATACTTATTTTAGGAAGAAAACAACAACAGATATATGCGAGGTACTAGTAGTAGTAGTAGTAGTGGAGAATAGTGTGTATGTATACGCAGAATTAGTTCAAAATAGAAATATGAAAAAGAAGGTTCAATTTGTGTATGGAAAAAGAAATAATCAAATGAACATGTTTACACGTGTTAGAAGAAATAAATTACACATTTGACTATTATTTTTCTGGAGAAAAGAGGCACATGAAGGATATGCGAAGGAGAGAGAGAGAGAGAGAGGGAGAGTAACAAGTGTACACTTTTAAAGTATTTAATTACGTTTAGATATATTGTGTATTTACTCAAAGCAGAATAAAAACCGAGACGTTAAGCCACAATAAGTTAGATATTACAACGCTAAATATCTGATTTTTTGTTCGGTTAACTAGAACAGTTAATCAGTCAATTGATGTATTGAAGAGTAGTACGCCAGTCGTAATCTCTCGAAACATTTACTCTCTCTCTCTCTCTCATTGTTATGTGTATGTGTGTGTTGATGGAGCAGCAGTAAGAAGTAAACCGTTAGCTTCTTACATTCAATCATTTTGCATTTATATAAATAATTTGTTGACCATTAATCGATTCGACCGGGTTGTAAGAATAGTGTGGTAGACAAAAAGAAATATATTGGTAGTAGTAGTAGTAGTAGTAGTAACAACAACAACAGAACACATTTCGATGAAGTTATTCATGGAATTAAAACAAAAACAGAGAAAAACCGCCCAACAAGACAAGTAAAAATGAAAATCTGACTAAAATGATGAGAGAAAAACAAACATGACAAAAATGGATTCACTAATTAACTTAATTTAACAACAGTGAATTAGATGGGAAGCAAATAGCGTAAGTATTATGTAATCTTCAAATAAAATGCCACTCTCTCTATTTCATTTGTGTGCATTTCTTACTATGGGAGGAAGAAGTTTATTAGAAAATGGTTTTCTTTTGTTATTTGTAAATGTGTAAAAGGAAATAGACAAATTCTTATGATATTGATTAGTAGAAACGTCTGACATCATCACCATGATCACGACGACAGTAGATGGTAATGACGAGAGATAAGAGAGGAAGGAAGAGTCAAACAATTGGTTTCATACAGATGATTGGTACACACATATATATATGATCGATAACTGGGATTATTTTTTTAACAAACAATAATGGATGATGAATGGATCAACTTCTGGTTGTAATTGAATCTTCAGATGTGGCTGAACTTTGTTGACGGTCAATATAGAGTTTCAAAAGGCGTTTCTGTTGAGTAAAGATACAAGAGAGGGAGGTTAAAGAAAAGAGCACATTGAAGTAATAAGAACTACTAAAAAAGGAAAACTATTCAACAAAAACTGACCGACAGAACTTAACTGGTCCTTGCAACAACACAAACATGAGAATGCTCACTTATTATTCAGTGATCAATTAGTATAACCATGAAAGTTCTATATATTAGTATTGATTTATACGACAGTGACACTTGGTGAAATCGACTTTTATACAATATAATCAATAGAACCTTTATTCTTTGCATGATTTTAGAGTGAGGAAAACACATTTGAACCAATGATAATATTATTTTTGATGAAAGTACAAAGAAAGCATATATATCATGATGATGAAGGCTACATATAATGGCTTTTCCTGGTGAATAGTTTACGGAGTTAGTATTGTCTTTCATTAAGATCATGAACTGATATAAGTTAGACCATCATTTAAATCTGGAAGCACTGGAGTCCTCAGCAGTGCACAACCATAATCCCGCAAGCATAAAATCGAACTCAATAACTCCGGTCTGGTGCGTGGACGCTTAATCTCTAGACCACTGTGCCGGCATCCAACGGTGTTTATGGTTCAAATGAAAAACAAGAATCCCCGCAACACCTATACTGAAAATTACCATGCGCTCATAA